GGTGGGAGCTGGGTGTGCCAGCCACTGCCACAGAACACTGGCCCCTGTATAAAAGATGCCTTTTTAAAAACTTCTATTTCTATCAAATGATTTGCAGGAAAGGAGAGGAAGATTTAAAGACCTCATCCACCCCAAATACCTCAGAACCACTTTGCAGATATGGATCATATGGTAAAAAAAAGTCTTTCCCCCCCCGCCTTGCTTATCAGCTCATTCTGTCAGTTGAAGGTGTGCAGGGAGCAGAAGTCTCCCATTGATGCTGCCAGCATGGGTCACCATAGACATGACCTGATCTCAGACCATGCCTCAGACACCCTCTGTCAGCCAGTATTAACATAGGCAGAAAAGGGCTGGACATCCAGGGTGGTGCAGCGTGCCATGAGTCCTTCCTCAGGACAGGGCTGCTCAGGGTATGGGGGGTGGGATCCAGCCGAGAGCCACAGGAGAGAGCCCACACCTGCCTGCAGTGTGCACCAGCAATTTGCCCGCTGCTCCGCTTCCCTTCTTGGTGTAAACTTGTTCTTCCCGGGAGGAGGAGAAATGCGCCACCTTTGCAGGCCAGCCAATGTATCAGTGAAATAGGGCTCCAACAGAAACTCATTAACTGTTACCAGTGCCGCTGGCTGGGGAAAATTAAGATTGAAGAGAGATGGGTTTCATATGCAATGTTCCCAGTTAGCTGTATGCAAGGGTAATATACATTTCATTGACTTTGCTGTCTGGAATGGAAATGCATAAATAATGGGTCCGTGGGAACTCATTGACCCAAAATGTTGCTAAGTCAGGCCTTGAATATTTTATGGGTTGGTTTTCTTTTTTTTCCCCTCAACTTGTATGAGTGTTATGAAATACCTTTTTTTTGTTTTTTTAATCCTCCTTTCTCTTCTAGTTCCCCCCAGGAGCTGCTGGTGTGTTCCCGGGTTTGCATTCCCACCCCACCCCTCACCATGCCCCGAGCATCCCCCACCTCTCCAGGCAGCTCGTTTCCTAGCCCAGATTCTGCCGCTCATTTCTGAAACTGCCAGGGGGGATAAAAAAGTGAAAATTACTTTTCAGCCTGCTTATGATTAGGCGTATGCTGAATTACTTGATAGTGACACAGCCAGGCTGCCATCACCAATGTTGTGTTCTTGACAACCAGCCAGGGTGTGATGTGAGCCTCTCCACCCAGTTAATGAAATCTCCTTTTGAAAATCCTTGGAGAGAAAGGATAAGGAGTTTAAAAAAAAAACACAACCACCAAACAAAACAAAAAAACACCACCACCCACACAAAAAAACCTGGACACTTGCTTCATGTGAGCTGCAAGTGTTGGGGCCTAATGTTGAGAATTCCTGGTCTGGGAAGGGGTGGGTTGGAAATGTCTCCACTTACAGCCCTGCATGAGGGAAGGGACCAAATGGGCACGCTCTCCTCAGCATGTAAGAAACAGCACAAGGGGCAAGCAAAAAGACGAGCTGTGAGCTGGCGTGGGGCCCCCCAAGGAAGAGC